GGTTCCTCAAAAAACTAAAATTAGTACTGTCATGTGATCCAGGAATCCTAATATTTGATATGCCTCTTAGAAAATCAGTGTGTTAAAGAGAAATTTGTGTCCATCAACAAATGAATGGAAAAATAAAATGTGGTATATGTATACACAATGGAATACTAATTAGCCATAAATAGAATGAAATCCAGTTATTTGTAGCAACATCAGTGAGCCTGGAGGACATTATATTAAGTGAAATAATTCTGGCACTGAAAAATAAACACTGCATGTTCTCGCTCATATGTGGAAGTTAAAAAAGTTGATTTCATATAAGCAGAGACAAGTGATTACTAGAGGCTTAGAAGGGTAGGATTAAAAGAGATAGAGAGATTGGTTAATAGATACATAATTATAGCTAAATAGAAGGAGTAAGTTCTAGTGTTCTATAGCACTGTAGAGTGATGATAGATAACAATTTATTCTATATTTTCAACTAGCTAGAAGCCAATATTTGAATGCGCCCAACGCAAAGAAGTGATAAATGTTTGAGATGAGGTATTTTCTAATTACCCTTATTTGATTATTACACACTGTACACATGTATCAAAATATCACACTGTGCTCTGTAATTATGTATAATTATGTGTTGATTAAAAACAGTATTTTTAAAAAAGAATAGTACTTCCCACCTCAGAAAATTGTGTGAAAATAAAGTGACTAAATATTTGGAAACTGCCTGATCTATGCATAGATAGCACATCATATTATATAATTATATACCCCTTTATTTTTGTGGAGAAATTTTAAATGAATTCTGACTACTGTGAAAATATGACTTACTAGATTCTATAAAACAATTAATAACTAAAGACTTTTTATAATCAATTATACTTTGAGTCCAGTCAGGTGAATCCGTGCCTACAAAAGTAATCAGAAGCTAACATATATCAGCATTCAGTAGATCCTAATAATTAAAATGGTACTAAATCAGTTTGGGGAGGAAAAATCTTTTCTTGGCTGCTTATTCAAAAAAATTTTAATATCAGTTGCATAGCGTGAAGGACGCTTATGAAAAGCTGATGGGACTTTACAAAAATGATGCCTGATTGCTTTGGTCTCTAGAGGCTGGAGTGCTAAGCCTACCAGATATCAATGACCACAGACTGCCATTTCACTCACTAGATTCGTGCTTTGTGTCACTATGACCCCAAATCTGCTTTTGTTGCCTAATTATTTGGTTGCTGGCATATAATCCCATGATACAAAAATAGCAAAGCTTTTGTTTTTTCTCATTTGAGAGATAGATAAGTTTATAGTTAAAATCTATAAAGTCTGAAGCAATTACTCTTGACTTTTGTTTCAAGTCGAATCATACTGAAGCTTCTGTTTGTGTTTTCGCTTTAAATGAGTCAAGAAATCTTTTCGAACAAGGACCTAGGAAAGTGAGAGTGGTGTTTTCAGTGACATTTAGGGCTCACATGTGATATTACATATCTTTGAACTGCTGAGGAAACAGATAACAACGTTGTTTGAAAGCCAGATTTTATAGAAACTGGGAATATGGAAGTTAATATAAAACCCTGGTTTCTTATAAGCATATATAATGTTAAATTCCTTCAAACAGTCTGAACTTGAGATCCTTAACTCTGGGACCAAAATTGATCACATTTGAATAGAAGAATCTTAATCTTTGTGGCAAATACTCCAGTAGATTTTAAAATGTGCAGGTATAGATGGATATCTTGTCATTTTTCAACTCCTGTATTGTACAGAATGTCACCTTTTATTCCTTCAAACCCCATCTTTGCTCACAAAATCCCAATTCTGTTCCCGTATTGGAAAACTCTGTTCTACAAGGGGAGGCTGGCATATGGATCAGTCCTTAGGTTGTGGATCGACATTAGTCTAACAATCAAAACAATCCCACAGCAATCCTTTTCTCTTTTCTGGTGACTGGTTTAGGTGTAGGAAAGTGAATGGAATGCAATTATGCCCACTGGAATGTAAAGAGAAGTTTGGTGAGAGGCTTCTAGGAGGTTTTCTTTACTCTTGAAAAGAGACTAAAGCAAAATATTCACTGTCTTCTGGCCTTCAGAAATGACTGTGCAATGAACTGATGCCTTAAATTGAATTGCTGCAGCCTTCTTGCATCCATGTAAGAATTAGCTATTCAGTTTCAGATAGCAGAGCAGAGAGGTCAAATGATGACATTGTGGAGTCATTACATTACTGAATTGTTCAATGGTTTTACATTCTGGACTCCTTGCTATGTTTATGTTATATTATGCTTTTGTGTTTATGTACTGTAGTCCCTGCTTATGTAGTTTCACTTTCTGCTCATTTAGTTACCCATGGTCAGCTGCCATCTGAAAATAGATGAGTGCTATACAGTAAGATATTCTGAGAAAGACAAAGGGACCACATTCACATAACTTATTTAGTATATTGTTATAATTGTTCCATTTTGTTAGTAGTCACTGTTGTTAGTATCTTGCTGTACCTAAGTTAAAATTAAACTTCATCATACATCTCTGTACATGTGTATAGAGTTCAGTACTATGTCTGGTTTCAGCCATCCACCAGAGGTCTTGAACTGTATCCACCTGGGATAAGGCGGGTGCTAGCATATTTTCTTGGGTCTTTTGCTTTGTGAAGTCAATTGCATTCTAAATAACACAAAAATAACAAGTTACTCTGTGTCTTATACTACATGTAGGGAAAATGAAAGGCAAGTCCTGTCCAAGTCAGTTATGTGACAGGCTTTGAAAATTTGCATAAGCTATTTACTTAAGAACTTATTGCATATAGCATACTGATACAGTCATAAGTCTGAAAAGCCTTTTAATAAATATTAAAGCATTTAATGTAGGAAATAAAATTTAAAACAAAAAAGGAAGATTTTATTGCTTATTACATTTTTAAGGAAGATTTTCTTTGAAACTTAATGGCAGCAAAATATTGGGGATTGTCTTTTAAAATTCAGTCTTGAAATATTTGGGTACAACTAGGTACATTTAATGTTGTAATTAGGACTTTTATCTCTCTCCAAGCACACTGAAATGCTCATGGGCTTTTTCTTGGTCATGATCGGTTTTAGGGATTTCCCAAAGCCTTACTTGAGGTTAAGGGCTGCACCAGACAATCAGAGTTGCATATTCCATTAGGCAAAATCAGGCAGATTTCACATAAAAGCTTCAACTTTAAGTGAAAAATTTAAAACTGAAGGGTAATGATAAAATGAAACTCCTACCTTCACATCACTCCTTGCCATTTCTACCACTGTAAAAAAATGCTAATTGTGTAGACTTGGTTAATGGATTTGTAGAGATTATAGGAACCTGTGTATAGCATTTTCTGCGTATGTATGACAATAGCAGTCTGCTTATATATGACAATAGCAGCAGTAATGGTGAATGGATTTATAAAGATGATAGGAACCTGCATATAACATTCTCTGCTTATGTATGACACTAGCAGTCTATACCATACAAAACCAAGTTAATGATCCTCAGCCCAACTTTCAAAGTTTTCCACAATTTAAACTGTATTCATCTATCCACTTGAGAGAGAGAGAGAGAGAGTAAGAGAGTGAGAATGTGTGTGTGTGTGTGTGTGTCCTTTACTACAGCCTATAACTCCACGGTCACTTCATCATCTCACTGAACTTCAAACTCACCTCCCCAACATGCTCCTGAACCTATTGTCCTGTCATCCCCATTAGCACACATTGAAGTTCTATCTTAATGAATGTTCAGCCATTAATTAAACTCTGTTTTCAGGAAATACCGTTTATAACTAATTTTCATTATGCAAAATTATATACACAGTTTGGGGGCAGCAGCAGAGAGAAGTACTGTTGAGAGATTTGCCATCATTGGGCAACCAAAGGAGATTCATAATAAAGCAATTTAAAAATGTATGAACAGTTAATCATTAAGAGTTTTCTATTTTTGTTTACTATTGTTTTCTATTTTTGTTTACTATTTTCTGAACTTAGCTTATCAGAGGATGGAATCATTGTTTTTCTTTCTAAATAAAATGAAGAATTTAATAAAGAAGAAATTCCAGGTTGCTCAATAAATTATTGATCACAAATAATATGGATATATGAGCAGATGCTATATGCCAGGAATATGTTACAATTTATAAAGCAATCTATTTTCCATTTGAAAGCAGGTTAGACTTCATTGATTTACTTCTTTCATGCTTTTTCATATTTAAATACAGGAGAATAAAATGAAATGTTGAACACACTATATCATAAGCCCTCCCCGATACTGTATACCGCAGTTACTACTACCTGTTTCTTCAGAGTCCAGAGGTCAAAAAAAGAAAAAGAAAAAAGCTTTCCTTATATCAGACTAACAGTAATAACTAATAGTTTTTTATCAGTAAAGTTGTAGGCATCTATGGAAATGTAAACCTCCTATTTTCATTTAGAAATAAAATATGTAACGTAATTATTCTCAAGTGAGTTTACCATTGAATTTCAGAAACTTACAGTCCAATATTTTATCTTAAAGTAGCTTGTAGGAACAAATTTAAGAGTTATCCATAGTTAAAAATTGAAAATACCAAATCCTCTGAGTGTCACTTTAATCCCAGATCAAACAAGGCCTGCTGGCCCAAGAACTAAAATTGATTTTGTTACATGTATCAGAGGCAGCTCATGATTCTTTCCATCCTTTGCTGAAAGCAGATAGTATAGGTAGAAGATAATTATTCCTTTAATGCTAACTTTGTAATGCCTAGATGGAATCAGTGCTTCAAACAATTTCTGTTTCTTATTTACATTTGTAAATGCCCTTTGCCCCTAAAGTCACCCCATATGTAAGAAATAAAATCCTTTACCAACAAGCAAGTACTCAGAGATTTCATCACCACCAGGCCTGCTTTACAAGAGCTCCTGAAAGAATTACTTTTAATTTAATACGGAAAGCGTCCATAGCTCTACAGAAAAAGATTTCATAACAGTGTTAGTTGTTTATCTCTTACCTTATTCCGAGAAGTTTTATTGTAGCTTGGTATTATTAAGAGTGCAATGAAAATTGTAACAATACAGAAAAGATTAGTATCATGGCCTCTGTACAAGAAGGACATGCAAATTTGTGAAGTGCTCCATGTTTGTTAAGTAAAATATAAAATTATTAAAAAAAAAAAAACAGTGCATTGCAGCCATGTAACTGGGGAATGGATGAAGTGACACAATCTAGGCTGCAGACAGCAAAGATAATAGAGGGGGTATGCTAGTTGGTAGCAGAGCTATAAACTGGACGGGGACAGTGCACATCAATTCCTCTTCCTTTTTCTGAAGTTGTGAAGAATGGCAACAGGGCTGTCAAAGTCAAGGCATTGTTCACAGGGTAGAGGGAGGAGCATGTTTGCAGCTTGTCAGTAAAACTGAGCTGTCAGTTGAGGAGCTGTCTCAAACTTTATCAGCTGCCTTAGAAAATGAAAGCTTAACTCTCACCTGTCTTTCAGGAAGTGACTTCTTCACATTCTAAATGTCAGTAAGGTATGATGTCAGTAATGAGGGCTTGGCTCTTTCTTTACTTTGAATGGCTATGAGACAGCTGTGAAAAGATGGCTATGAACAGAGAGAGTTCTGCGCAAAGTTGTGTATTACAAGTGTATTTTCAGTACAGTTTTCTCACATTCTTAATGCTGTGTGTTCCAGTGTTCTTTCTTGCAAAGCCCCATTCAAGGTTATTTCTCACCCATCAGGTGACCTCTACCATTTCTAAATTCCCAGGGCCCCTGTATGTTCCAAATACACTAATCTGTCGAGAATTATTAATAAATATTTGCATTCATGGTTCTATTACTGCTGGAGGGAATTTAAATACTCTTTAGCTCCACACTCTCATTTTATAGGTAAGGTGAATTGGTATGCATATGACTATGTGGTTACCTGAGAGGGGAAGGGAATGGTTATTAGTAGTAGTAGCAGCAATATCATAGTTATGTGTAGTTAAACAATAATTTGTTGAAATTGAAAGAAGGCAAGAACAAAATTAGGTGTTATCAGGGAAGGTTGATGGAATGGCTAACCAGAGACCTCTCTCATACCTAATATGTTTTGTTTAATTAGTTAGTGGCAATACAAAGTCTTCTTAGCTTTGCAGAATCTCAATGCTGCAAGGGTCAAAGAATTGACTAGATTCAGGGCTTCTGGGTTATACCTACAAAAATCACAGAAGACTCAAGTAGAAAGCTGAATGTCAGTGTATTAATTAATAAACAGAAACACAATTGTAAAGTCAAGTGGAAAGAATCATTGGTCTGTCAGAGAGTATGAGGTAAGTGAAATTAGTCATCATATTATGGTTAATTCCAAATTTTAATAAAATACTATGTACCAGAACTTGATTGCTGTGTTTTATAAAAGTTGTCGTCTAAACTACTCAACAACCTTGTAGAGTAGATGTCATTCTCACCACTTTATAAATAAGAATAGCGGAAGCACAGAGAAGTCAAGAAACTTGACCATAGCCATGTAACTAATAAGTGGCACAGTTAGCCTGTGAAGTGGCACAGTTAGACTGTAATCTGCTTTTACCCAGTCTTCATGGTAATTTAGTAGATAGCTCAGTAAGCACAAAAGCAGAACCATTGTTTAGATAATTGATTCAACTCTTTAGTGATTTGTATAAGGCAGTGGTTCTCAAGCTGGAGAGAATTTGTTCCCGAGGGAACATCTGACAATGTCTGAAGACAGTTTAGATTGTTACAACCAGAAGAGGGGATTGCTAGTGACATATAGGTAGATGCTTGGGACGCTATTCAGTATTCTGCAATATGTAGGACAGCCCTCAACAACAAAGAAATATCCAGTCTAAAATGTCAATCATACTGAAGCTAACAAACCCTGGTACAAGCCAGCAAGAGCTGCATCCCCCTGCACAGTGGGCGTTCGTTTCTCATTAGGGTTTGCTTGTTGAGTTCTTGGACTACAGTGCCCTGTTATTTGTATAGTGCTTGAATGCACACTCTAAATTTGTTTTTCTGACTTGTTTTTTATGTTTCAACATTGTTAACTCTCGTTATTGTCAGTAATTCATTGTATTAGATATATATAAGCAATAGTGTTTCCCCCTCCATTGCCCTTCTAAACTTATTTGAAACTCAAATGCTGAAACTATTAAAATCAGCTACAGATACTGAAATCAGCTATATGTACTATGTGATTTAAGCCACAATTTTTTTCTTCAGGATAGAAAAAAAAAAGATAACTCTTTAACAACATTCAACCTAGGACATTTCATCCATGTAATCTGTAACATGCTGGTGTTTTCCCCTCCAGACTACAAATTCTTGTTGGCTCGTGTTGCGACCTACTCAGCTTTACATAGTTGTTTGTTGCACAAATGTACTTTTCTGCTCTAGTAATCTAATATTGCTGCTATGCTTAATTCTGATTGCCTTTTTTAAAACATTATTTTTAAATTGTGGCAAAAAGTGATATGATAATTTTCATCAAAATTTATAAAATTTTGTTTAGTGAGTCAAAAGATTATGTCAAATTGCTCTCAAAAAGATTTGAACACTTATATTTCCCCTGAGAGTACAGAAAAATATAGTAAGACTTTAGTATGCTAACACACATAGGCATATTTTAAAGAGTTTTTTCAGGTTTATTTGACCATAGAATCATTTCACCACTGGATGCTTATAAATATTTTCAGTAAGACTTATGATCTCCAGGACACAGTTTGAAAACCATTGTTTTAATGAGAAATAAATATCTGAATATTTGGCTGAATGGGGTGGCTCTTCAGGACAGAGTGAATATGCTCTAAATGAAGTAAGAAAAGCATGCATAGATTCTGTTGGCTAGAGCTCTGGCAAAGCCTGCTAGCTGTCCACTGAAATCTTTGACTTATCTTCTTGAGCAGGCAGTGAATTGGCCCTTCCCAAAATCCCTGGCCATGTAGCCTTGTGACTAAGTTCCCACCCCATGGGATGGGATCAGAGGTCATGCATGCCACCTGCTGGCCTGACCTATAATAATCTCCTACATGCACTTGTCCTGCTCTTTCTCTCTTTGGGTTGACCTGGATAGAGAAAAGTCCCAGGGTGAATTTGAAAACTACTTGTTTAAAATGGTAGAACCTCTATCATTAAGCAGAGCTGCCACAGACTGGGAACTGCCACCACTGATGTAGGGACTGTACATTTTTTTTCCATTCTTTTACCTAACAAAATATTTCTGTTGATTAAAGCTGTTTAGCTTTCCCTATTGAATACAAACTTCTTACCTACGCATATTATGTGTTATGTTTTAGTGGAACTCAAGTTTCAAGATTGTTTGGCTTGTATTCTAGCTTAAAATATAAATGCCTTACATTTGTATATTACTCTTAGATTTCATAAATTCTATTTTATTTGATGTATACCAGAGCCCTCTGAGATAGACATGAATTAACATCTGTATTTTAACATGTGTTGATTATAATAAGTGTTTAAGTAACTCAGAAATCTAATTAAAGCATATTACCAACCAGAAAGAATGTTATCTAGTCAGATATTATGCAAATATTTGACCACACATTTTTAATAAAGTGAAGCCAAATGCGTGTAATTCGATGTATATGTACTTTTACTTAACAATATTATTTTCAATATTAATATTCTATTCCACTGTCTGAATGCTTAGTATCCTAAAAATGTAGTAACAAACATTTGTATACATACATCTTTATTAACTTATCTACTTATTGTTTCTTTAGGCTATCACAAAATTGTAGGGTCAAATGGCATGTTTACAATTGTGATATACATTGCCAAATTGTTCTGTAAAAAGGCATGAATCAAAAGTCCTAAAAATGTTGCTATATTTCCTTATTCCCTTTTTAATACTAGAAATTATTAATCATTTTATTACTTGGTAATTGTTAGAAGATAATACTTATTTTTCACTTTGAATTTTTACTATTAATAAGTCTACATATTATTTCTTTTTATTATTATACTTCATGTTCTGGGATACATGTACAGATCGTGCAGGATTGTTACATAGGTATACACATGCCATGGTGGTTTGCTGCATCCATCTCCCCATCACCTACATTAGGTATTTCTCCTAATGTTATCCCTCTCCAATCCCTTCACCCCCTGCTATCCTTTCCCTAGCCCCCACCATCCCCCAACAGGCCCCAGTGTGTGGTGTTTCCCTCCCTGTGTCCATGTGTTCTCCTTGTTCAACACCCACTTATGAGTGAGAACAGGCAGTGTTCGGATTTCTGTTGTTTTGTCAGTTTGCTGAGAATGATGGTTTCCAGCTTCATCCATGTCCCTGCAAAGGACATCAACTCATCCTTTTTTATGGCTGCATAGTATTCCATCATATATATGTGCCACATTTTCTTTATTCAGTCTATCATTGATGGGCAGTTGGGTTGGTTCCAAGTCTTTGCTATTGTAAACAGTGCTGCATTGAACATATGTGTGCATGTATCTTTACACTGTAATAGAATGATTTATAACCCTTTGGGTATATACCCAGTAATGGAATTGTTGAGTCAAATGGTATTTCTACTTCTAGATCCTTGAAGAATCGCCACACTGTCTTCCACAATGGTTGAACTAATTTACACTCCCAACAGTGTAAATACACTCCTATTTCTCCTCATCTTCTCTAGCATCTGCTGTCTCCAGATTTTTTAATGATCTCTAACTGGCATGAGATGTTATCTCAATATGGTTTTGATTTGCATTTCCCTAATGACCAATGATGATGAGCATTTTTCGTGTTTGTTGGCTGCATAAATTTCTTCTTTTGAAAAATATCTGTTCATATCCTTTGCCCACTTTTTGATGGGGTTGTATTTTTCTTGTAAATTTGTTTAAGTTATTTGTAGATTCTGGATATTAGCCCTTCGTCAGATGGGTAGATTGCAAACATTTTCACATTCTATTGGTTGCTGATTCAGTCTAATTATTGTTTCTTTTGCTGTGCTGAAGCTCTTCAGTTTAAATAGATCCCATCTGTCCATTTTGGCTTTTATTGCCATTGCTTTTGGTGTTTTAAGTCACGAAGTCCTTACATATGCTTATGCCCTGAATGGTATTGCCTAGTTTTTCTTCTAAGGTTTTTATGGTGTTAGGTCTTATGTTTAAGTTTTTAAT